AGAAATTCGCAGTGTTTGCTCAGCAGACACTTGCAGTGGATTTCTCAGATTTCACTTTCTGGAAAAGATATGTATGTGGATGATTTTTTTGAAGGAACAGATACATTAATTATTGTAACTATTGTTTTATGTAAGATTATGCATCAGGCATTTCAACTACTTATTTAAATTAAATGACAGGAAGTCCCCATCGTGCTGTTAATGTTTTTCAGATTTTATTATATAAAATTATCCATTTTCATGATTGTCTTATTAAGACAGTTAACAGTAATATACAAATTAAATCCATTTAAATAGGAAAGATAGATAAGACAAGAAGTTTTAACAGAAATACAGAGGGAGTTCAAGTTTTGGCTTTGCCAAGAACTAAAGGAAGATTAAAGTTCCTTAGTTGAGACACCTTGACACCCAACATTGGCCATAATGGAGGAGGCTTCCACAGTCTGGCTTTAAGTGACTTTATCTCATACATAAGGTAAAAATAAAATGGTGAGTCAAAAAGTAAAACTTCCAAACTGGCATGATTCGACATTAGTGTGCTCCTTTAGTGCTTCTAGGTTTTTAAGGAATCGCACAAAGTAACTGAAAACAAACACCATCAGTTAAGGTGAAAATATATCCATAACTAGTACTTACAGTATACAATATTAGAGATGTTTTGTGCAACTAGCTACAGGCTTCTTTAATTCTGAAACAAAAAGCCAGTTGTGCCAATTTCATTGGTTGCTGTTACAGCTGTGTTCTCATTTTTCCATAGGGTGATCCTGGAGTAGGGCTGCCTGGCCCGCCTGGACCGCCTGGCCCTCCCAGTCCTGCACGATTTCTGGTCTGTATCCCACTGAAGCAACACCCCTTGTCTTCTTAGAGATTTAGGTGCTGAATTTGGACTTAGTTGGGAAATATACAGAAGGTGGTTTGCTAAGGTTGCCTTTCTTATTTCAGAGTGGAGCTGATGGCTATGGTTCAGGCTTTGGGGACTTTGACAGTGATGCAGAAGTTATCCGAGTAAGTACCTTGTTAAGAGCACTTTTGCTTGCAGCCTCAGACATGTGGTTATAGTTTGCAAGAGTACGGGTACATTTTCTCAAAGTTAATAGCGCTGTTTAAGAATACTCCAGGTTACTGTGTCTGTGAGGTCAAAGCATGTCAGATTATTCCTGGCCTTTTTCATTCGCTAACACTAATAAAACCATGTAAATGTTTTATTCCATTAACTACTGTTAATTTCTTTATATTTAATCAGATCTGATTTTTGCTGGTAATTAAGGGGACTTAAGAGTTCACTGAAAGATGCTTTATTTCTGTAATGCTCAGGTCAAGTGGTGTCAGTGAGCATACACTATTTTCTTACTCTTATGGATCCACCCTTCTGGATCAAGCATAACAAAACCATAGACCAAAATAATTGATCCAAATAGTGGCATAATTTTATAATTTTGTTTTTTAAGGAGTGATGTCTGTTTATCTAAAACAGGAATATCTAGTTCCAGCTTCTATAAATAAAGGCTAGGAGATTCTGTGTCTTCCTGTGGAAAATTGTGTTTATGCCAGTTGAACATTTGGAAATTGTGCAAATTCCTGTGCTAAAGTGCATGTCATAAAGCAATGCCATGGTATTACAGATGCAGCCATTCAAAATGCATTGTAAAACCCTGTACTGTGCAAATAAATCTGCAGATTAGCGCATTATACCGTAGTACGGGATTG